TTTGAAAAAGTCCTGCAGGTTTGGTGTCATATGGTTTGTAATATGGTTTGTCCATCCACTATCAACCAACCAGTCTCCATAACTTGTTAGTGTTGCACTACATGAGGCTACAAATAGTTGTTATGTCCCTTGCTCTGGTTGTTGATCATCAGTCACCTGGGCTTGCTATTGGGATTGCTCTCATTTGTTCTTGCAAATCCTCTCTATATGGCCAAATTGTTTGCAAGCACTGCATTGTATCCCTGGCCTAAACCAGCATCTTTTCCCAGAATGTCCCTTCCTTTTACAGTGAGAGCAAGGTGGATATTCTTTCATCCCACCTGGTTTTCCCCACTGACCATTGCTTCTTTCTTTCCCTTTTTTATCACCGACATATCTCCTATTGTTCCCTTAACTGATTTACTTTTGTGAGTCGCCATCATTGCACCCTCACTTGCATCTTCTTGCCTCAAAAGTCTTATTTGCTTTTATGCTTGCAATGCATGAACCAACTCTGTAAGAGTAATCTACCCCATATCCCTTGAGTCCTTAAGAGAGGAGATTTTGGACTCAATTCTTTCAGACAAGCTTACCAAGACCTTCTCCATAACTCTCTTATCTATCAACTTCACTCCTAGCAGCCTAATTTTGTTGACAACACTCATCAACCTGTCAACATAATCCTTAACCTTCTCTGATTCTTGCCTCCACCACATCTCAAACTCTCTTCTTAGATTCAGCAGCTGCGTATTTCTTGTTGTGTTGCTTCCCATGTATTCCTCTCTCAACTTATCCCAAGCCTCATTTGGAGTTTCATATGCCATAATCCTTGTGAATACAAGGTCTGTTACAGTAGCATGGATATGGGATAGGGCTCTCGATGCCTTGGCAGCTTCTTCTTCAAGCATTCGAATCTGATTCAGAGTGGGATTCGATCCCAATAGCGGTGGCTGCCTGTTCTCTTCCACATACTGTCACAGCCCTTGACCTTGAGAAAAACCTTCATTTTACAGCCCATATATGATAATGTTCTCCATTGAACACTGGAGGTAACATCAAGGCTGATTAAGCAGTCATTGGTTCAGTTTAGATAATTGAAGCAGGAAGAATAAGAAGACTAGAACAAAATGTTCTTAAGCTAAGATGGATGATTGAATGTGGGAGGGAGAGATTTTAGGTTTTAGTATAGCTCTGATACCAATTGTAGGTGTTTAGTGCCGGTGAATACTAAGGAAAGAGGAGAGGAAATTGAGTTGAGAGAAGTTATATTTCATTGCAATTCACATTACAGTTTTATACAACCAAAATGCTTACTGTTACACCAACTAACCAGTACAATTATAGGTTTGAAATTTAAAAACAAGATTTATAACTAATACACCCTTAATCTTAGCTGAGAGCACCTAAACATATCACCAAAATCTAACAACCATAACAACTCTATTCATGATAGACAGCAGGCAGACTGAGTGCTTCTTTAGCTCCAAAAATATTTCAAAAGCCAACTGAACATCCTGTCAAATTTCCAGCAAAATATCACTGTTTCAATAGTTACAATCGACAGAAGCATAGAGCCGACCACTACTAGCTCGTCAAGGCTGTTTGGCTTTGAAAAGAATAAAACAAAAATGAAAGAAGAAATATAGAAAAGCATTTGAATACATAAAGATAAATTACAAAAAAAAGCTAATGAGGTAATCAGTAAACGGAAATGAGTAAAGACAATAAGCAGAGAACGAAAATGAGAGAAAAGGGGAAGAAAATTAGGGAAAAAATTCAGATCTTTATTGTATGTCTTTCGTTAGTTTACAAAGTAGTGTACAGCACTTTATATACAACTTATGTTTTTTACAATTGAAAACCCAACTTAGAGTCAACTGTATTGGGCTGGACTATAACAAAATACAGTTAGCTAAGCTAACTGAACAGTAACCGAATGCAGTTAGCTTAGCCCACAACCCACTAATGTAACCGAATGTAGTTAGCTTAGCCTACAGCCTACTATTGTTCCACTCAATATTCACATCCCACCGTAAATCAAACCTCTTTGAATTCCTTTATTCCTTTATTTCTTCCACATTCTAACATCTTGTCGTAAATCAAGCTTCCTTGAATTCCTTATCTGTTACTTCAACTTCATTCTTCTGACTTCTCAATTTGCTTCAAACTTCATTTTAACTAGCGCAATCTACAGGTTCACAATTTGCAATCTTTTAAACTTTAACTACAACTCTACATTTCTCAATTTGCAATCTACCAAACTTTAACTACAACTTTGCATTTCTCAATTTGCAGTCTGCCAATCTTTAACTACAACTTTGCATTTCTTAATTTGCAATCTGCCAAACTTTAACTACAACTTTGCATTTCTCAATTTGCAGTCTGCCAATCTTTAACTACAACTTTGTATTTCTCAATTTGCAATCTGCCAAACTTTAACTACAACTTTGCATTTCTCAATTTGAAGTCTGCCAATCTTTAACTACAATTCTGCACTTTCACAATCTATAATATTTCAAACTTTAACTACAACTTTGCATTTCTCAATTTGTAGTCTGCCAATCTTTAACTACAACTCTGCATTTCTTAATTTGCACTTCACAACCTGCACTTTCACAATCTGCAATATTTCAAACTTCAACTACAATTCTGCACTTCACAGTCTGCACTTTCACAATGACTCAGCACTTCACAATCTGCACTTTCACAATCTGCAATATTTCAAACTTCAACTACAATTTTGTACTTCACAATCTGCACTTTCACAATGACTCAGCACTTCACAATCTGCACTTTCACAATCTGCAATATTTCAAATGGCAACTACAACTCAACATTCAAACCACAAATACAACTCTGCACTTCACAATCTTGAAAACTTTAACTACAACTCTGCATTTCTCAATTTGAAAAACTCATCCTGCACTACTGCTCATCTTCAATTCAGTTCTACTCCACTACAACACTTCAACTTTATCTTTCAATGTAACAGAAACATTCTTCAAGCAATCATTTTCTTTACAACACATTTACAACTGAGCAGCTTACAAAGAAACAATTGCATACAAACTGCAATTTTTCAGATTACAAAGAAAAATAATTTCATGTCAAACTTCAGCTTAACAATACAAACTATAACCACACTTTACAGCTATAAGACAGAATTTTGCAATGACTACACAGTTATTCAGATCATCAAAACTTTCATTGAATTTCAACAATTTAAGTAAGAGATGTTGAGTTGACTGAACTACAAGAAGGTGAAGCTTGTACAGTCAGTTTAAGTCTTAAAGTTTCAAACCTGGAGGTTGGCAGAGCCTTTGGAAAGATGTCTGCTTTCTGGTGTTCAGTGGGCACATAATGAACCTTAAGATTGTGAGAAGTAACATGTTCTCTAACATAGTGTGCATCAAGTTCTATGTGCTTAGTTCTTCCATGAAACACCAGATTGGATGCAAGAGAACCAGCACTTTGGTTATCACCCCAAATAACTAGAATTTCTTACAAAGAAACACCAAGTTCAGAGAATAAGCTGCAAAACCAAGCCAGTTCAGTGGACCCTTGAGCAAGTGCTCTATACTCAGCTTCAGTGGAAGATAGAGCCACTACTTTCTGCTTCCTAGAAGTTCATTGCAGTAGATTAGTACCAAGGAAAACATAGCAGCCGCTTGTGGACCTCCTGTCCTCAATACTACTAGCCCAATCAGCATCGGTGTAGCATTCTAAATTGATTCTAGTGCTTTTAGTGAAGAGAATTCCATAGTTAGAGGTCCCTCTAAGATACCTAAGTAATCTCTTAAGCTTGCCAATGATTTTGTGTAGGAGCCTTGAGAAATTGACTTAATTTATTGACACAGTAAGCAATATCAACCTGGATAATGTCAAGTATTGAAGGGCTCCTATTGTACTTCTAAATAGAGCTGCATTTTCATATAAATCAATGTCTCCTAAAGTTGGATGAGAGTAACCAACTAACTAACATTTTATCAGTCTTCTTCCAAAGTATATATTCAGGGTTAGATTTCTTGGTTACCTCTAAGTTTGAAGAATTCGATTGAGCTCTAATAAATGGGGCTGGGCATGGAATTAATCCAGTCAAGTGATCTTCAAGATCATGCGCTCCTACTACGAACAGTATCTGGGACTTCCAAAATCGATGATTGTCCCGATTCAATATTGGTGAAATCGTTGGAAGTGTGGGCGAATACATTGAAGACGGGTTGATGAGGTTAACAGTGTCTGGGATTTTGTTCGAATTGTTGAATGAGGAAGGATTAGAAGAGGAATCAGCCATTAGCGACGTTTGTCAATGGTTCTGATACCAAATGAGTAAAGACAGTAAGCAGAGAACGAAAATGAGAGAAAAGGGGAAGAAAATTAGGGAAAAAATTCAGATCTTTATTGTATGTTTTTCGTTAGTTTACAAAGGTAGTGTACAGCACTTTATATACAACTTATGTTTTTTACAATTGAAAACCCAACTTAGAGTCAACTGTATTGGGCAGGACTATAACAAAATACAGTTAGCTAAGCTAACTGAACAGTAACCGAATGCAGTTAGCTTAGCCCACAGCCCATTAATGTAACCGAATGCAGTTAGCTTAGCCCACAGCCTACTGTTGTTCCACTCAATATTCACAACGGATATGAATAAGATGAAGCAATCTAAATGATTAAATCTACAGAATAATGCAACTTGCTGTTTTCATGATCTGAATAATGGAGGATGCCCTTCCTTAATTTATGATATTGTTTTATATATATATATAGACTTGTTAGTTCGACAAGATCACAAAAAATATAGAAAAGAATCTGATCATCATACTTATCTAACTGAACTTATTTATTTACAATTATTTTTCTGTAGCCATATCCCATATGTGCTTACCATAAACGTGGTGAATTTATGACTTATCTCATCCAAATTTTATATACAAAACTTGGAAGTTATTCTACTCTGGGCCTTAAAAGTGTACTTCTCCATTTAAACATCATTGAAGCTTTACTCTCATAGCAAGTATCTTCATTCACTGATCTCTTCCTTCTCAAAGCAAACAACTTCTCTCTCAAAAGTGAAATTAATGGCCAAGGTTCATCCTCTCCCACCTGTTGTGCCCAAGGTTTCTTCGAAGAGAGAATCATTTACCATATGGATGAAATCTCTTGTGATGCAAGCGAATGGATGCACCGTTTACAATGAAAACGGCGAGATCGTTTACCGTGTAGATAACTATGAAAAGAAAGGCAGCAATGAAGTTTATGTCATGGATCTCCGAGGCAAGGTTCTGTACACAATTCTCCGAAGGGTATGGTTTTTGGGAAGGTGGGAGGGTTATAAAGGAGATAGTTCAAGCTTGAATAAAGAGAAACCGAAGTTTAAAGTAACCAAAAAGGGTCATGTGAATGCTGAAGCTGGTTGCTATACATTGGAAGCCTTGGCTGGTAAATCCGCATTCAAGATAATAGACTGCAGGGGAGGTGTTTTTGCTGAGGCAAGACGAAAGAAGTCATCTTCACGGGTAGTTCTTGGAGAAGATGTGTTAAGTTTGGTGGTGTAGCCTCATGTAGATCATTCTCTTATGATGGCTCTTGTGACCGTGTATGGATTGATGCATTACAGATTGTAAATGCCCTTCAAAATTGTCCCATGGTTTCTTAACTTAGTTGCAACATCAAACCAACATGGTACAGAGATTTTTTTATTTTTTCTTCCAACCTTGAAAGAAACTAACTAATCTGTGAATGGGAATTTCAACCATTTGTACCTGAGAAACTGACTCTTATAGCATTTTTTGTTGTTGTTGTTGTAAATCCAATATCATAGTGTGGTATAGAAGAAATCTTAGAATGTTGTCATAAATTTCTGTGTTTATAAAGGCATCTGAATTTGTTCAAGGATCAATTAATCCAGTATTTTTGGAAGAAAAAAAAAAATTCCCTTTTTAATTTTCTTCACAGTAATGAAATCTGAAACTTTGGCTTGGCTTGTAGAAGTAATAAGCCGAATGGAAATTGAAAAACTAAGTAGATTGAAACGGTAACGTACATGTTTCCAGGGATTTATTTTTGCACTGCTTATCTCTGACTATGCTTTAACAAATGACAGCATAGCCTACCGGAGGGTGGGTAAGGTTACCCTTGTACTCTTAAATAATGATTCAGTAGTTGACAAAATTATAGAGTTGGGACTAGCATTATTTCCATAATAAACTTAACGAGGTGATGAGGTTGCTCGTATAAGTTTTCCTTTTATTTAAGATGTTGGATTTAATTATACTGTATTAGCTGAATTAGTTTAACAAGCAGATGTATTCACTTTCGGCACAAAAAACATCTAGTCAACTAAAAACTAAACAACTAATGTCAGTCCCTATCCATGATAACAACTATTATATTCTGACTACAAAATCCATAGAAAAGAAAAGGAAAAAATAATATATTAATTACCTCTATGGGTGGTCAAATGGTTCAATAGGGATTCTTGGGTGTATTATTCAAGAGGTCATCAATTCGAATCCCTTATTGGTTGCTAATAAACTAATAAGAGTAGTCACTGAAGCTCTTACTAGACCAATAGTTCCAAGGTCTCAAAGAATTAATTGAGGTGCGCGTAAACTAAATTATAAAAAAAGAAGCTTCCCTCCATCTTCTCACTGTAGAATACTTTCAAGTCCAAATGGATCTCATAGCTTACTAAAATAGAGATGGATCCAATATGACCAATCTATTTTTGATAATGTGGGGTTTCATCAGAATCACAGTGCTATTAAATAATCAACCCAAGCATGTTGGAACATGTAAAGGAAATAGTGTTAACTTTTTTAAAATATATCAGGGAAAAAAAAGAATTCTTAACCGTATAGATCACTTGTACTACAAGGAAACATCAGGTTTCATTCATTTATTTATTTGGCCAAGAGGCGTTGGATCATATTTTGTGTTACATGTTGATTGTACCAATGAGAGTTACCAGAAGCAAGCAGTCAAACTGTCAAAGTTCATCAGCTGGATCACTGAGCCAAGATTCTTTTCTTTGCCCCATATGTTCCAAGTGAACGATGTTTTTGACAAAATAAGTAGTATCCTGATAGTTTTGTAAAACCGAAACTGGTATCCATTTGCCTTAATGTATATGTATAATGGATTAGAAACATGGAAGCTGTAATTCTGCTAAGAGTAAAGAGTGACTAGCTTACACTGTTTACGAGGAGAAAAGAATGAATATATTAATGATAAATCTTCACATATATCATGACAAACTTTAAACCAAAGGAAAAAACGATTACGAAAACAACATGAATAAGATACTGAAGACAATTACTACCTATGGAAACTGCAAGGTAAACTTGTATAAGATTTGTACAATTTAATTTATTCACTCTGATAGTCTGATAGAACCGCCACGTCTATGTTTGTTTTTCTTTGGGAAGGCACGGCGCAGCTGCAGCAACTATACATTGTATATAGGTTTCGGTGTATAAACAAGGAAACGGTTATCAGCTCTTCTTGGCATTCTTGAGGTTGCGAACCGTCATCACAAGCTGTTGTCTTTCACCTTCTACCTCGGCAAACTTGAGACTTATCTCTGAATATCTCTCTTGCATATCCTTCAGCTCGCTTTCCATGGATTTGTTTTTTTCCTTCAGAGATGCTAATTCAGTTAACATGTCATCGAGGTTGCCATTTTTATTTTCGATGGTAGATGGTTTCAGTTCTTTCTCAGATAAATTATCATCGTTGCTGCGAAGAACAGTAATGATCAGTATTTCACTAGAAAGTGGTAACAGGTAGTTTTGTTATCATGATATCAAAACAGAATCATAGAAAACAAATTTTCATTCCTCAAGTCCATACCTATTGACTGGTGGCATGATATTTCCATTTTCTTTGAACTGGCATGATGAACTGCTCTGGCTTTTTATTTCTTCAGCTACCTGTGTCACAAAATGAAACATTGCAGAAATTAATGTAGAACTTTCACTTTGTAGCACTAATAAAGCAAATATAAGAAGTTCAACTTTGAAATAAACTCAGGACCTTGAAGACGTTCAATTGAAAATAACCCAAAGCATTTATCAGAATTGGATATTTGCTCAACGCACAGGATGTGAAGACTTAAACAAGCCCTCAAACCATGACAAAAGAAATGAACAGGTTATACATAGTTTGTCATGATTTATTATGATATTATCAGTACATTCTGATGAATGTTCCTCACTGAGCATACAGTGACTGCAATTGCCCTTAAATTGTCCGTTTTATGAATATATGCATGTATCTGAAGCATTACATGATTTATAAAGTTGCCAACCTTTTCAAATGATAATTTGCACAAACTGCTATTCTGATTGAACTCCTCCACTCTGCACTCCAATTCTTCGATCTTGGTGCGAAGATCCTTTTCCTTCTCTAAGAATGAATTTGTTGAGGTCTCCAAAGCAGTCTCCCTTGACTTTATTTGTCCCTGGCAAACAAAACAATCATCAGTACCCAGTTCACTATGTCCATCACAACTATAATAAAAAAGTGAAGAAACAAATTTCCATAAAACATTATCAGGTATGAGCAGGAATGTCAGGATCATCTTTTTGTAGTGCTAAACCATTGATAAATTCAGACACCCACACAAATTTTGCAGTTAAGACAAACATATTCAACTCAAATATTCAATTTCATATACTATTTTGAGTAGTACATTTACCTCAAGCATTTTTATCTTTTCTCTCAAACTGGCAACCTCTTTAGATCCTTGAGCAACTGGAGCAGGTTTATTGTTTCTTAGAGAAGTTCTTGTTCCATCAGAAATTGATCCTCTTCTGTTGCCATCCTTCATCTTCTTCTCGAGAATGGTATATGCATCTTCCTTCTTCTTAAGGTCACCCTTTAACTGAAATATCTGCTTTCTAAGTTTTTCTTTCTCTAACTCGTCCTCAAATAAAGAATGTTTCAAGTCACTACACTGAGCCTTGTGCACTTCGAGCTCTGATTTTAAGAGTTCAAATGCTGCCTCCTTTTCATCCTTGAGATGCCTTATTCTCAGTAGCTCCTCCTGTGATTTCTCTGCCTCCTTCTTCAATAAAGCAACTTGACTTGCGAGTTCATGTCTCTCCATATTCCCTTTTTGTAACAGCAGCTCACTCTCCTTAACTGATGTCTTCATTTCTTCCAATTCAACTCTCAAACTTTCTTTCTGTTCTGCTTTTTCAGAGAGAAGATCATTGCTTGTCCTGAGTTTTTCAATCTCAGATTTTAGCTGTAAAATCTCCATGGAGAGAGCCCCACAAACTTCTTCCTCGTGCTTCTGTTGCTGTTCAAGCTTCTTGGATATATGGTCAATATCATCTAATAGCTGCTCTATCTGCTCTGTTTTCTTATTTAATTGGTCGGAAAGTTCACGTAGTTTTGTCTCATAATCATCTCTCACTGATAGGAGCTCTTCACGAGCTTTCCTGAGCATTTCTTCAAGTTGGCTTTTCTGTGTGCGCAATTCACTAGCTTCTGCAAAGGCTTTCATAGCCACCTTCTCATTTGCATCAAACGTAGAGGCCATTTGTGCAGAGAGCCTTCTAAATTCCTCCTGTAGCCTCTCAGCTGTGTTAGCATTTTTCAATCTTGTCTTTCGCAAGGCTTCCTCAGCTTGAATTGCTCTTTGCTCCTGCTCAATTTTGGCACGTGTCACAGCTGCCAGATCAGCTTCATATACTAGTCCCTGCTTCTCCAAGTCTTCCTCCAAGTCCTTGATATGGGCTTCAAGTTCTTTTATGGTGGCCAAAGAATCAGAGAATTCTTTTGACTGCTTTTTGAGTTCACTCTCCAAATTCTCAATCTGGGTTTCAAGTTCACCTGTATTAGCAAACGAAGAAGAACATTCATACTGCATCTTCAGTTGTTCCTGCAGCTGACTTTGCTCTAATTTATATGAGATGTCATGATTTTGTTGCTTCAGTATCTCATAATCAAGGGCAAGCTGCTCCATTTGCATCTCTAGCTCGTCTTTATCTCTCCTATAGATCTCTATTTCACTGTAGAGGTCCATGACCCTTTGTTCCAGCTTGTATGTCTCCTTGGCATCTCTGTGCTCCTTAACCAGCTCTTCCAGTGCCTTTTGCTCTTCGTCATCATCTGTCTCACTCCTAAATATGTTTCCCCTCAACTCTTCAGCATTCTGACGGTATCGTGACTTCTCGGAAAGATTGGATATGTCCGTGTTTTTCTGCTCCAACATTTCATCTAGGTCTTGTACAGCAAGCATTAACTCAGAATTTGATTCCTGAGTCTTCTGCAATTGTATCCGTAGATTTGCATTCAGGTCCTTCTCATATTGCAGTTCTTGTCTGATTTCCTCTATAAGAACCCAGGGATCCCTGCCCTCAAATTGCAACCTGTTTTTAACTTTAGCTTCACCCATACGCTTCTGAAAAGTCTTTAGTCTCTCACATTCCACCATGAGTAGATCTCTCTCCTCTTTCAGGCTGACAACTTCCCTGGATAGGTCCTGCCCCCTTTTACTTTCTTTCACAATTTGCTTTCTCAGAGTCTGTAATTCCAACTCTGACAAATCTGCCTGCCTTGTCAAAGCAACAAGCTCAGACTTGAGTTTTTCAATCTCATTATCTGAAGCCTGTTCAGACCTTTCTCGTAAAAAAGTGTATTGAAAACCATTTGTGGAGTCGTCAGTACTTATTCCATGGTCTGAAATGACTGACCACTCCCATTGTGATCTCTGATGCTCTTCATAGATTGTTACTTGGGTATTTTCTGTTAGTTTATTGGGCACTGTAGT